TGCGGCCTTCAATAGTTCACCAAAACTCTTTAAGTGGCCCTCCAGTCGAAATAATTACCCACCCCTGGCATAGTCCCTGGTCTCATTTTCACAATAGTAATAAACTTGTCAAAGTGTCATCTCCAGGCCCTGATGCCTTTCCCTCTCCATGTTGACAATGATCTTAAATGACAAATGACAATGATAGCATTGGTAAAGTCAGCCCATGAAAGCATGTATGCTTTCTCTCTCTCTCTCTCTGCATACACACACATACACTTTTGTTAGTTTCTAAGATGTGAATGTACCTTGCCCTCAACTTGGTTTCAGACTAACATGGCTAAGCACATCTCAGTGATCTCAAAAGCAAGCATATATAATTAAATGTGCTTTGTTTGTCTGAAAAGAGTATTATATTCTTCATATTTAAGAGTAATGTATCAGGTGCTGAGAGCTATGATACACAAGTCGATTGTTCCTGCTAGTCTTTAATCTGACCTTCATTGTGGACCAAATGTTGTCCCTTCCTCTGCACTCCTAATTTGCCTCTGAGGAGAGCATTCTTGAACACTGCAGGGGGAGTTTTTTTCCCTAGTATGTAAATACTGAAGGGTTGGTGGCCCTATGCAAATGTCCTTGCAAAGGGGACAACCATTATCTGTGGGATGGGTACTGAACAGTTCCACAGCCTGGAGTGGAGGGAAGACACTCATTTGGATGGTTGGGTGGTTTTGGGATCTGACTCTTTTTTTGGTCTTTTGATCTGAGAACAAAAGTTTTTTCATGTCCAGGATATTACTTTAGAGCTGCAGTCCATTTTTAATGCTCATGAGTGGAATATTATTAAAGTACTATAGGTATCTCTGCTTAATCAATCATCTTCACACTGCTAATGGGTAATGATTTAAAAGATATGCATCACTCCTACTGTTTATAGATTAGTTTTCTTTTGAACAAATGCTGCTGTTAGTCTATTGGAGGTCTTCTTCTTCTGAGGTAAGGAAAAATCTGAAGAGCTAGTGTGTCACTTCCTTCATTTTTTGATCAACTGTTCTGTACATATTCAAGGGAAACAGAAAATTTCAGAAAGCTGGACAATTTACTTTAAATTTCCCATTATGTCTCTGTATCAGGAGGGATTACTAGCAGTAGATCGCTACTGTTTTTATCTTGAATTTCATTTGCATTGCATTTATTTTACATATTTTGCTTTTCCTTAGCATAACTTCTCTCTTATCTCCAGTTTTGAAACTCATGTACAGTTTAGTAAAACAACATGATCATTTAGACTGCAAACTTTTTGGAATTTTTGTTCCTGCACCTGCTGTTGTGAACAAATGAGAAAAATAAACTAAAATGCTATTAGACCAGTTTATAACTATTTAACATTAAATGCAGTTAATATCTTTTGAAATATGGAGAATTTATCTTGTTCAGAATAGGAAGTGTTGGTGCATTCATCTATTGAAAACAATGCATGTCTAGAAAACATAAACTGCACTTTTGACATATTAGGATATCTTACCAGAGGTGTTTATTACAAATGACTATAGCTTAAAGGAAGTCCACACAAACATTTGTTTGATTGATCTGATGGCATTTAAGTACTATTAGTTATCTAGGATTTGTGCATTAACTCGTTTTTCTGGCAGAACAGTGTGTAAAATATAGTCAAGAATTGTATAACAGTTTACCAAGCAGACACAAAACTAAATCCTGGTAATCATTTTTCAAAGGGTATCTGAGAACATACATATTTATCATTTACTATATATGCCTTTAATGCAAAGTACACTATTCTGTATGCTAGGGCTGTGTGAAGTTTCAGTCCCTGCTTCGATTTGCTGAAGATTTGGCCCAATTCGTTTGCCAAATCTCCGAGTCTGAATCAAATCAGAGTACCCTTTAATCTCTCCAAATCAAATCGGAACCCTCCGAATCAATTTGGAAAAATTCAGAAACATTAGGCGATTTGGGCATAGAGACAGATTTAAATATTTTTTCTACATACCTCTAGATAGCAGGGGCTCATGAATGCTGTGATGCTGGGGTGCATGGAGCATCCCACAGGAGTGTGGGAGGGGCCCCTGTGTTCTTGCAGTGAACCGGGAAGTGGACCAGAAGTACTTCTGATCCACTTCCAGGTCTGCTGTGGAGTGCGCTGGTGGCCCCCCTGCACCCTGTCCCCCCCAGCTCAGCGATCAGCCACAGGGAGACCTCAGGTGCCCCCAGACCCAGGAGGCACCAGTTACCAGAGGGGAGGGGTGGGCCCTGTGGTACACTCCATGCACCCCACTATTGCAGCAATCACAAGCCATGCCTGCTACCTTGAAGTATGTAGAAAAAAACTTTTAAAGCTGTGTCTATGTCCGAGTCACTGATTCTCTGAATCAGCATTGAATCTTCAGATTTGGATTTGGCTGAATCTAATCAGGGGCAGTGATCTGAATCAATGAATCTAATCACTGTCCCTGATTTGGGCCAAATCTGAATATGAATCAAATAGGGCCTGTTTCACACACCCCTACTGTATGCTAATCAAGAAAGGCCTAATTTTCTTAAGATTTCCAGTGTGATTTAAAAGATGTTACTACAATACAAAAATGGAAATATTCCAATTTCCTGACCCTAATTATGTCTTTCTGTGTTGCAGCAGGTACCTCTGATGGAAAAATAGCCCATGTGGATCCTCTCTCACATATCTCCTTCTCACTTTTTGCTTGGAGGTGACATATTTCCAGGGTCTGTGGAAACATGTGTGACCCACTGTTGAATTTTGTCTATTGCAGCCTCCACAACTCCTTGGCAATGGGGTTTCAATTAATCTATTCTTTCTTACTCTTTACTATCTATCTGTTCTCCATGCCCCACCTCCAATTCATTCAAATGCCTAATATTTTCCTATTCTGCTACACTCCCAGATGCCTCCTTAAAACCCATTTCTCCACCCCCTGCTTCCCCTTAAATCAATCAGATGTTATTTCCTGCCGATGAAAAAGTGAACTGACAACTCCAGTGGTGGTGGCACCGAGAGGGCTTCGGTTTCTTCAACTACAGTGCACACTTCAGGGAGAGAGGACTCCTGGTAGGGGATGGCATCCACCTTATGCATAGAGGTAAGTCCCTGTTCTTGGCCAGGATGGCTAATCTTCTAGATAGGGCTTTAAACTAAGATTGCTGGAGGATGGGGAAACACTGACTGGAGCATGCCCAGGGACTGACATACAAGAGAGCTCTGTAGATGGGGACACCAGGAGAGCCACCCTTGCAGGAGCTGAGGGAATAGTTTGCCTTCAGCATGACAGGAAGTTGAGGGTCTCAGTTGGAGGACTCAGGTGCCTGTACACTAATGCCAGGAGTATGGGGAATAAGCAGGACAAGTTAGCCCTCCTATTCCTATTCTCCAGTTGGTGTTACAACCTAGTAGGGATCACAGAGACCTGGTGGGACTCCTCACATGATTGGAATGTAGACATAGAGTGTTATACCCTGCACAGAAGGGCCCAAATAGGGAAGAAAGGTGGAGGTGTAGCTCTCTATATGAGGCAGCAGTACACTTCCTTGGAGGCCTACATCAGCTCCAAGGAAGAATGGCTTGAAACCCTCTGGGCCAAACTGAGGGGAGAGCACGGGGGGTGGCAAGAGAAACATAACTGTAGGTGTATACTACAGACCTCCAAACCAGGGGGAGGAGCTTGATTTAGCATTTTCTTGAGAACTGACAGAGGCCATGAATGCACAGGACATGGTCATCATGGATGACTTCAAGTCTCCAGACATCTCTTGGGAGAAACACTCAGCTAAGTCAGATCAGTTGTGTTCCTTCCTGACCTGCATTAAAGAGCTCTTCCTGACTCAGGAGGTGCACATGCCAACCAGAGGTAATACTCTCCTTGAGTTAGTCTTGGCCAAAGGAGATAATCTTGTGAGTGACTTGAACATAGAGGGCAACTTGGGTGACAGCAACCATGGAACCATCAAGTTCACTGTCCATTGCAAGGCAGGAAAATTAGATAGCAGGATTGAAGTTTTGGACTTCAAAAATGCAAATTTCAACAAATTCAGGACAATAGTAGGGGAAGTGCTGCAGTACCAGGGACCAAAAGCGAAAGGAGTGCATGAAGAGTGGTTGTTCCTTAAAGACACAATCCTTGAAGTGCAAAGGAAGTCCATTCCCATGTGGAAGAAAGATAGCAAAAGAGCTGGAAAGCCCTCTTGGCTAAATAGGAAAATCATCTTAAAAAAGAAGAAAGAGGTGTAGAAACAATGGAAGGTTGGGACAGTCCCCAAGGAGGACTATATAACAATGGTCTGCACTTGTAGGTAGCAGATTAGAAAGGCTAAGGCAGCAACTGAACTTAAATTAGCAATGGAAATTGAGGACAACAAGAAGTCCTTCTTTAGGTACGTAGAGAACAGGAGGAAAACAAACGGGAGGGTGGAGCCATTGCTCAACAACTCAGGGCAGCTGGTTACTGACATTCAGGAGAAAACTGAACTCCTAAATGACTACTTTGCTTTGGTATTTCACTAGGTCAATGGGCAAGTCATGCCAGATAGGGCACAGAATGGGCATGGTGGAAATGACCACCTTCCTACTGTTAATGTAGGAACTGGTGTGTTCAATTTAAAAATAGACGTATGCAAGTAAGCAGGACTGGATGAACTCCATCTGAGAGTGCTGAGGGAGATGGCCGAAGTCATCATGGAATCCCTGGTGAAACTCTTTCAAAACTCGTGGCACTCCTGAGAGGTCCTGCCACGGTGTGCAGGACTGGAAGAGGGCCAGTGTTGTGCCCACCTTCAAGAACGGGAGGAGAGAGGACCTGGATAACTATAGGCTGATTAGCCTAACTTCTGTCCCTGGGAAAATTCTGGAAAAATTCATTAAGGAGACTATATGTGATAGGCTTGCAGAAGGAAGGATTCTGAACAATAGCCAGCATGACTTCATTGTGGACAGGTCTTTTCTTGCCAAGCTCATCTCCTACAACTAGGTAACTTGCCACCTGGATAAGAGAGTGGAGGTCGACATTGTACACCTTGACTTCCAAAAGACCTTTGATCTTGGATCCCACAATGTTCTCAAGGGCAAATTGGAGGATTGTGGGCTTAACTGCATGACAGTTAGGTGGGTAGGAAGCTGACTGCAGGGAAGGACCTAGAGAGTCCTAATGAACATATCTGTGTCATCCTGACGAGAAGTGGTCAGTGGTGTCCCTCAGGGGTTAGTGCTTGGTCCAGTTCTTTGTAACATATTTATCAATTATTTGGATCTGGGGGTGAGGAACTCACTGACCAAGTTTGCGGATGACACCGAGTCATGGAGGAAAGTGATCACACTTGAAGATAGGCTACAGACACAGGCAGACAAGCTGGCAAGTTCGGTGGATCAGAACCAGATGAAGTTGAACATCGAGAAATGTAAAGTACTCCACCTGGGGCTCGAGGGTGCCAACTTGACCAGCATCATGACTGAAAGGGACCTAGGAATAATAATAGATAACACTATGAATATTCATATGAGCCATCAGTGTGATGCTGTAGGCAGCAGGGCAAAAAACACTCTGGCATGCATCAATTGATGCACCTCAAGCAAAACCAAAAAGTTATTCTTTTGCTTTACTTAGCATTGGTGAGAGTGCAACTGGAGTACTGCATCCAGTTCTGGGTGCCACACTTCAGCAATGATGTGGTAAAGCTTAAGAGAGTCCAGAGAAGGGCTACCCATATGTTCAGAGATGTACACGTCAAGCCATATGAGAAAAGGCTGAGGAACCTGGTACTCTTCAGCCTAAAAAAGAGATGACTGAGCGGGGATTTGGTAGCAGCTTACTGTTACATCAGGGTAATACATCAGGGGCTTGGTGGACAAATGTTCACCAGGGCATCCTTGGGGAGAACCAGGAGTAATGGCCACAAACTCCTGGAAGACTGTTTCAGGCTTAACACCAGGAAAAAACTTCACAGTTAGGATATCCAGACTGTGGAATAGGTACTATCACCTACCCTAGAAATCTTCAAGATGAGTCACCTTGCTGGAGTCATCTGATCCCCAGTTGTCTTTCCTGCCTAGTGAAGGGGGGCTGGACCCAGTGATCTTGTAAGGTCCCTTCCAACCCTTACAATCTATGCATCTTTTCATAGCTTCTCTTACCTAAAGTTTTGTTCTATTCTGAATGTGTGTTAAGACTCTGCACACCTGACTGTATCACAATATTTAAAAAAATAATATATATCTATATCTATAGAGCTATATCTATCTATATCTATCTATAGATTTAGATATAGATATAGATATCACTCTGGTCAGGGCTGCATTCCCAATAATATCAAAATGCAACTTGCTGCTAAGGAACAGCAAATGACACTGGGTTCATTTGTTCTTTGTAGGTTCTGCAAGGGCATTTGTTCTTCTACAGTAACAACATAGCCACCCGTGCTCCTGTTCCAAATCCAGAAGGTCCTGAAACAGTGACAGCTGCATGATAGTAAGTTGTCATAAATCTATCCTTCCTTATCTTACACCTTCCTACTGGGGCTTCCCGCTTCAGTGCTGGCCGGCTTCCTCCTCAGTGCTGACACACTGGCTTCCTGATAAGCAATGAACATGACCTTTGAATTCAGCTTCTGTTCTTCAGTAGCTCTTGACAGTATGCCACATTTCCTAGTCTGGTCCTGCTAGTGACTTCTAACTCCCTGACATCTTGCCTCATACTTTCCCTTCAACCTTCCTAGCAACACATTTATCTAGTGCTATCATACTTCAGCGGCAGCTTCCATCACACATCTATTCAAAGGACATCTTTCTAACTTCGCAGCTACCATCTGTTGCCTGGTCTGATTTTGAATTACTCTTCCCCCTCCTGCATTCCTAACCAAGCTCCCAAACCCCTTTTTTCAGTGAATCCCAGATGTGCTGTAATCACAGGGCAAGGTTTCCATTTACAAGACAAGGATCTAATTTAACCAGTAGATTGCAACCCCACTTTTTCATTTACCTCAGAATGTCATTTGATATGATTAGAGCAAAGTGACTTATTTTCATATTTTCTGCTTCAAGTCCCTGCAAATGCTACTTTTATATTTTTGCCTACTTCCTCAAGAACTGGGGAAGAGACAGAGAGGACACCCACTGAGAAGTACTTAGAAGTGATTAGCAAAAAGACAAGAAGCACTGCCATTGTGTCATACAACAGAGCTAACATCTTATTCATTCCCAAGTTTTGCAATATACACAGAGATGAGACTGGACCTATAAGCCTCCACAAGATCAAAGGTAGGTGCAGATGAATCAGAAATAGGAACTGCTAGATATTTTGAACTGCATATGGAGAAGGGAGACCTTGGGGTGGGGAGATGGAGATGCCAGGGTTGTATCCTGGAGAAAAGTGTACAAATAGGTTCAAGAAGTTTAGAGGTTTGGTGAGTGTTTTAGTTTGATTAAGTGGGATGTGCTTAACTGTGGTGTAGCTCAAAGTAAAGAGCTGGTGCTGTACAGTGTTTGTAAGTTTTAAGGTAAAATTCTTCTCTGGCTTCATCACCATAAAGCCCTTTAGGGGACCTACACCCATTTTCACAAGTAGAAGTTCTGGCACATTTATACAAAAAGGAACATGGCTGATTTGTTAGGGGCCAGAGTTAAGTAGTTGTAAATCAGTGCAGGTTCCTCAAAGGAAATGATCTACACTGATTTACACCAGCTGAGAAACATGCCCCAAACCTTTATAAACAGTGTCCCTTGGGACATGCAAATATTAAGACAAGATTCACTTCCAGTAGGCTAATCATCTTGTAGCTGTCTAAATTAGGGTTGAGTATTGCGAAATGTTTTAGTACAAAGTGCCTGTTTCCTAGTAATATTCAGCACAAACACTGTGTTCATATTGGATGGTAGGGTATTAGTGTGTTTCTAGCACAGGCTTAGGAAGACGATGCCTCTGTGTAGTCTGGTTCTTCACACTGGATGAAATTCACCCATTTGCATTACAGAAGGCTGAGGGGTGACATGAGATATGTTCACTTATCCCCTAGAAAAATAAAATGTGCTTAGCAAATATCAGCTAATTCTTGCTCATGAGCAGATTTATAAATACAATTTAGCACCTTGCCTAGACAATATTAACCACAACACAGCAATACTTTAGTTTTTTAATTAAAAAATTTAGTTGGACTGGGCCTTAGAATGAAAGAGATTCAAAATACTGCACATTTGCTTTTGGGAGCAATCCTCTCAGCTTACACAAGTAGGACTCCTGAAGTGGGTAGTAAAACTACTACTCGGAAGAAAGTGGTTGGAGGACTTGGCTCCAAGGCTTCATTATTTTTAATGTTCTTTACTTGTGTGATGTTGTAAACAATAACAAAAATCAGGAAAGAGAGAGAGAAGAGCCTGTGATGTAAAAGGGGAAAATAAGTCCTTTAAGATTTTAAAAAAGATAGATGACTTCACAGGCTAAATAAGATGAGGCAAGTGTGTGCTCTCTCTATTACACACACACACATGCGCGCGCGCACACA